GTAGGTGACTGGGTACTCCTTCGTCTCCGGCAGCGCCCAGCGGCGTCCCTGCCACGTACCACCGCCGGCAAGCTGAAGCCACGTTTCGTCGGGCCGTACCGCGTCGAGGAGGTCATCAACGCCGTGGCTGTCCGGCTGAAGCTTCCCCAGGGGGCCCGCCTCCATGATGTGTTCCACGTTGGGGTGCTCAAGAAGTTCGTCGGCACGCCCCCAGCCACGCCCCCGGCACTGCCACCAACCCACAACGGCGCCGTGGTGCTGGCGCCTGACAAGATCACCGCTGCCCGGCTGGCACGCGGAGTGCGACAGGTGCTGGTCCAGTGGAAAGACGAGCCGGCGGCATCTGCGAGCTGGGAGGACTTCGACGACTTCCGTGCTCGTTTTCCCGCTTTTCAGCTCGAGGACGAGCTGGTCTTCGACGGCGGGAGAGATGTCATGTGCGGTCGCACATACGCCAGGCGCAGGAGAGCCCGCGACGTGCGCCGGGCGGCCGAGCGAGCAACGGCCGAGCGAGCAGCCAGGGCGCAGGAAGGCCAGGCGAGTGGCTAGGAGGAAAGAGCTAGCTGATTAGTTACTTCCTTGTTGGATTAGTCCTACAATCAAGGAGAGCCTTCTCCATCTGTTAGGCCACGGGCCATATATGCATGTACGCTGGGACAATTGAGATCAACGAAGAAGTTATCCCTAATCTCTCTTCCTCTCTTAAGCCGACGGCCGAGGGGCATAACCTCGCCGGCGTGACGGACGGCGGCTACGAGCTACGTAGCCGAGGTCCGGCCAGTCAGGGGTTTGAGGCCCTTGACACATAATATATCCCTATCAGGTTAATCTGTGCACATGAATACAATCACTTTAGCTTTTGGTAATGATAACTATCTCATAATATTCCTATCAGGTTGGTGACCCAGTTCAGTTGCCTGCAACTGTCATTTCACAGACTGCTCAGAAGTTGGGGTAAGATGATCTTCTTTTTATACCGGGACACATTTTCCAGGTGCTGTAATATGCTAAGACAATGCTCATTTATCTCTTAGATATGGAACAAGCTTGTTCAAAAGATTTCAAGCTGCTGGTTTTCCGGTGCAAATGCTTAAAATCCAATATCGCATGCACCCAGAGGTGAATCTCTTATCTTCAGCATTTCTGAAGCTGGAAACTGGAATGATTGTTGTAATTCATTATCCATTCCCATACAGATTAGTATGTTCCCTTCAAAAGAATTTTATGAAGGTGTACTACAAGATGGGGAGGGCCTCAGCAGGAAACGTCCATGGCATTCCTACAGCTGCTTTGGACCATTTTGTTTCTTTGATGTTGATGGTATTGAATCCCAGCCATCTGGAAGTGGTTCTTGGGTAAACCAGGATGAAGTGGAATTCATAACTCTCCTGTATCACCAATTGGCAATGCGCTATCCAGAACTCAAATCTAGTCCTGAAGTGGGTGTTATATCACCATACAGGCATCAAGTAAAACTATTGAAGGACAGTTTTCGATCAACCTTTGGGGATCAATCAAAGGAATTGATAGATGTAAGCACCGTTGATGGATTTCAGGTACTAGTTCAAATGCATTTTGGGATTTCTGTACAAATCACCTCTATGCCTCAATACTCTTGCAAGTACCAGTGATTATGATGTTATATCTCTTTCTCGCTCTTTTTGTGACCACTATGATTTGATGTTATATCCGACTGCTTGTATGTAGGGACGTGAAAAAGAAATAGTAATTTTTTCATGTGTAAGATGCAATGAGGAGCAAAAGATTGGCTTTGTTTCTGATTTTCGACGAATGAATGTTGCCATCACAAGAGCAAAATCTGCTGTACTGGTAAGCCCCTGTTCTCCATGTTTCAAATTTCATCATTACTATTTTGTTTTTGCATTATGGTAGCTTCAAAGTTTCCATTGTTTGCATGACACAGAATTCAAATATGCACTCTAGTCTGAACTGAGAGGTAGAGGCAGGTGCAGGCTATAAATTTAATAAGGAACTCTGTTGCCTAACAAGATGTACACAAAGTTTGAGATTCTCTCATGCATCCATACATGCAAGTAGATACGATTGTTCAAGGATGCTGCTTATAGTTATGGTATCTAAGATGAATGGTAGAATGCCTTTTTGAGATCAATGTCCTGCGCAATATGTAACTTCACGGCTCCATCCAGTCTTCAAGATTTAACTGACATTTGGACACCCATACCCCCCCACTTGTACCGCTATTTGTTCATGTTTTATATGTATTTCCTCCAATCACTATTGTAAGTCCATTATAAATTTAGAACAGACATAGTCTCCAATATGACACTTTGACTGGCAAAATCTATTCTCTTTTGGAAGGAGCGGTGTGTGTGTGAGTAATGCCAATCTTGTGTTGTCAGTCCATATAAAATGTTAGTTGATGGTCAAAGTTAAAAAAAAAACTTAGGAAAAAATCTCAATGTGCTTTATTTGTGATTGGAGGGAGTACTTAGTTGTAAATCTAAATAATAATCTGCATGTCGCAGGTTGTAGGTTCTGCTTCAACATTGAAGCAAGATAAACACTGGAACAACCTTGTCGAGAGTGCCAAGGAGCGAAACCGCTTCTTCAAGGTGTGTTTGTGACTCGCTATCTTGTTTCCTTAGCATGAAAGAGTACACATCATCTGGATGGGTCACACTATGCACATTTTGCAGGTCCCGAAGCCATTCACCACATTCTTTGGAGAGGATAACCTGAAGGGTATGAAGGTGGAAAAGTATCCTCTGCCAGTGCCGAATGCTCAAGTACTGGAAGAAATCAATCAAGAAGTTGTAAGGCAGGAGCTCATGAATGTCGATGATGCTGCCGACCATGCAGATGCAGGGGATGACGATGATGCTGCTATGGATGCTGACGATGGAGGTGGCGATGATTGATTGTAAGATTCGAAGGCTTGAATGGCTTGGGTAGAGCAGTTATGTAGAGTATTGGTATTACAAAGAGGAGTTGGCATTCTTGGATGGACGGAGGTTGCTGAGGGTTGAAAAATAGAAATTTGAAGTAGTGTTTCTTTTCTCGTATCTAATTTTTAGAGAAAGTGATTATCTCAGAGCGCACTACGAAAATTGTTTATTGTGAAACTGCAGAGGTGATAGATATGTCTCTTATGTATGTTTTCCATGGTTGGCAGTTAAATTTCACAGTGTGATGCGTCTTTCGCATGCACTGGTTTAGGTGAAGTAGGAGCATACTGACAGAGAAGTTTCAACTGAAGCAAATGCTGCTATTCTTTTTTGAAACGCAATGGCAGGAGCTTTGTCTTTTCATTAAGATAGGAAAGAGAGTTTATATACAAAAGCTGTAGAGATCCCCGAGCAGAACAAGGGGGTAAAGAGGTGAAAAAAATTGTACAGTCGTCTAGGACGATTACTCTCCCCAAGAATGAGCCATCTTCTTCTGAAGGATGTCCTCTTTCGTTCTTGAGGCCACCTGCATTGTGGGTGTTTGTGAATATTCTTCTATTTCTCTCTTTTCAAATGTTCCAGATGGTGTAGATTACCAAGCCGTTGAAGCGCTTTCTGTCTTCCTTGGTTATCTTGGATTGGACATCTTCCCACCATGAGATGAAATGGGTTGGATCTTCGGCCAAGAGGATTAAGCTCGCATCGAAGTGTTCCCAATGTAGAATGAGATTCCATACTGCTCTGGTGAACGGACAAAGTAAGGCTAAGTGGAGACACGTTTCCAACGGGCCGTTGCAAAGGGCGCATCGGTCTTGGTGTGGCCAACCTCTCTTTTGTAGATTATCCGCAGTGAGGATTTTCTTTCACGCCATGGTCCAGACGAATAGTTTGCACTTGTTTTCAGTGAATGCTTTTCATATGAGATCACTCCGAAATGCTCTGTAGGAACCGCAGAATTGTATTCCGTAGGCCGATCGGGTGGAATAGGCTCCGTTGGCTGTCCATTTCCAGGTAATGGTGTCTGGAGTGCCCGGCGTTAGGTGGATATCTTGCAACCTGATCCATAACGAGATGAATTCCTCCACCTGCGATGCTGTAGTGATCTGGCCCCTCAGAGAGGCGACCCAGCCATGGTTACGGAGCTCAAGATGGATTGACCTATTTTTACATCTCACTAATTCAAATAAACTGGGCGCAAGATGCTTTGGAGCCTCACCGTCCAGCCAGCTGTCATGCCAGAAGCGAGCTTTTTGCTCATCACCAATTGTGACTCTCGTAGATGCATTGAAAAGTGCCCGATCTAGATCGTTGCAGGGAAGCTCCATTCCAGCCCAAGGTTTAGAAGTGTCCACCCAATCCTGCCACAGCCATCTTAAGCGCAATGCCCTGCTGAACTTGTTAAGGTCAGGTATTCCAAGCCCCCCGAGGTCCTTTGGCCTAGTTACTGTCGGCCAATTAACAAAGCAGTGCCCCCCATTGGCGTTTTCCTCTCCTTTTCAGAGAAAGGACCTTCTAATTTTGTCGATGCTTTTTCGAGCCCAAGCCGTCAATGGGAATACCGTTAGATGATAAGTTGGCATTGCTGAGAGAACGGATGAAACCAGGGCGAGCCATTTTTCTTTCCATCCAGGCAATCTTTGGCCGATCCGCTCCATGGGCATCGAGCGGCTGAACGTGTACCTTCCCTGACGAACGCGTGTGGAGCTGCTATTCTCGATACTTCACTGATCAATATATATGTTTTTCCCCTAACTGACACAGACGGTTGCTAGTCACTAGTCAATCAGGTCTGATGTGAAATTAACGTTGTGGTGGTGTTTCATTGATGCTGTTCGGTCGCGGGTCACCTTGCATTATCTAATTCGGCATCAACCAATAATTCTAATATTGAACACTGTTATCAGCAATGCACTATGGACAGCATTTCTAACATCTGTAGACCATTGTGGTTGCTAATTATTTGGATTTCCATTTATTTTGCGTCTCGCCTGGCCTCATCTGCTGATCTGGATACACGTACACGAACATGTGACGAGTCCAGGGTCACCAGTTCTCCCAGCTAGCAAAGCATGCCTAAAGATTGGGGTTGCGCAGGTACTGAGCCCCCTGCCACGTGTCTCCGGGCCCCAGCATCACAGGCTCCAGCATGGCAGGCCCTACGACCACGTAGGCGTACTTGCCGTACCACTGGTACTGGGATCCCGGGCTGAAGACGTACAGCTCCTCGAACCCCTTCCTGTGCAAGCTAACGGAGTTTCTCCTGCCCTGCAAGCAATTCCCGCGCAAAAGCTCTCATCAGTCTCCCTGCCATGCATTTCTAGTCAACTGAATAAATCGACCAATGCCCAATCTCCGAAGGTTTTATACCCTGTCGATGATGGTGAATTCCTTGGGCGCGTTGCTGTACACACGGCACATCGCGTCCGTCATGTGCTTGTAGTCGTCGTCCTCCTCGCCGTCGGGCTCGTCCGCCGCGCCACGGCCCTGCCCGCCCGAGAGGATCATGTCCAAGCCTCTGTTTGCCCACCGGTGCCGGGCTGTCGTCCCTGCTGCGGACTGCTGCACGGCCCCGTAGTCTGGAGGGATGACGCTGAACTCCGACAGCGCGGGCTCCACGCTGCGGTAGTCGGAGCCCAGGAGCCCCAGGGCGTAGGTGGCGTCCGGGGTGCTGACGCGCAGGTGGCTAGGCACGGCGCACGTCAGTGCCATCGGCGACGACGCGCCGTTCGTCACCGCGAGCTCCGTGGCCAGCGCCTCAGGGTGCAGCGTCACCACGCACCTCGCCGCGGCCGCGTTCCCCGGCGCCGCCGACGCGAGCTCGATCTGCAAGGAAACGCGACGTGCCATGACGAATGACCTTTCTGAATCTGAAGCTTGGGAGCCTTATCACTACTGTATGTACTGTTCTGGCGTACCTCGATGGAGGTGGTTGGGTTTCCCCGGACGTCGCGGAGCGACCACGCCCCGCTCGCACTCGGCGACCATACGCCGTCGGCGCCAGCACAACGGAGGTCCACAGACACGCCGCCGCGGATGACGGCCCGCCCGCCGGGGCCCTCGGCGACGTTCGTGTGGAGCACCTCCGTGACCGTGCCGTGCCACATGGCGGGCTTGTAGGACGTGACGAGCCCGCTGGGGAGCAGCACGTGCGCCACGCTGCCGTTGCGCAGCGCCATCTTGACGGCACAGCTGCTGCCCACGGGCTCGAAGCTGACGCCGTGGCCGGCGAACTCGGCGGCCAGGTACTCCACGTTGAGAGGGACCGGGGAGGGCCCCGCCGCTTCTTCCGCCGCGGTCGCCGGCGCCAGCGCGCGCACCTGAGGAGCTGCGCCTGTACTCGCAAGCCGCACCGTCTTGCTTCCGCCGCCGCCACCGCCGCTTGGCTTGGGGGAGAGGCACATGACGATGTGCTTCCTTGAGCTCGCCAGAGGGGTTGGAGTGGCATGGGCAGCTGCAGTGGCAGCAGGAGTGCAGAAGCCCGCCATGCCTGCCAGTTCCTGTAGGAACGTGTGATCAGTGAGTGTAGCCTTATCTACAAGGTCTGGGAAATATTCCGTGCTGGATTAACGGTGTCCTTTTCCACTTTTCAGCTGGATTTAGATAATTTTCAAGCTGTTTTTATTTCAATTTTGGAGCACACTACCAATCATTTTCCGGGGCAGGACAAGATTATTTCCGTGCGAAAAAAAATCACATAAAATCGTTTGTCCTAAGCATATGAACGGATAATTTTTTTTAGCCAGTATAATTGAATAATTTCCAATTATATTAAGAAGGGATTGTATTGGACCATTCCTAAGAAAAAAATAAAAATATATCACCAATTTAATTTCTACGACATATAAAATTCGATTCACCAAAGAGCCTTATTCTACGTCACTGCCTCGTCATTTTGACTTTTTTTTTGGGAATCGTCAATTTGACTTTCATAGTTTCATTCCTAACATCGGTACTTGTTACCTAGTTTGTCTCGAAAAAGTAGAATTGAAACATGCCGTATGCGTTCAATAATATATGCGCAACTACAGTGGAAGTATAGCAAATTAAAATTATTATTTTTTAATTAAAAAAACATCTCGATCCCAACCTTCGTCCACCTCCCTCACTTCCCACCCCATCCCTTCTTCCGTTCGCCGCCGACACCACCTCCCTCGCTTCCCTCCCCCCGTTCCTTCTTCCTTTCGCCGCCGACACCGCATGCGCTCGCTCTCTCTTTCCCTCCCTCCCTCTCTGTCTACGACGATTGGGTGTGCTACCGCCGCCGCCGCCCTACCCCAGGTGGTGAGGCCTTTGCCTACCTCTTCGCCGGTGATGAGCACCCACCAGGTATTCCCACCCCTTTTCTCTTTCCTGTCTGTTGTGCGAAACCGAGTTCTCAATTTTTTTTTAAAAAAAATTAAGTTCTCAAACTCTAACCTCAAGCTGTTTGGCTATTTGATGCCTACTAACTTCTAACTTTTTGCAAAAATTATTGGGTGTACATGTGTACACGGTACACCCATGTCCCTTTACTAGATCCGCCCCTGCCTGGGTCCTCCATTGTTCGAGTGCAGATGAGTACATACTACATGCATGTCCCTTTGCTGGGTCCACCCCTGGTGTTTTATGTTGTCAGTTCAGTCACGATATCCTCACCGTGTGCAATGTGCAGTTTTAGTTTTTATCAGGGTGAGATGAATATTTAGCTCATCAAATACAGCTGAAATTTCATTAAATATGGGGCGCAAAACCTTGAAGCCAAACAAGGACAATCGCATAACATAGCCACTAGAACAAAACGAGTAATCTGATATCACAGTTTTTACAACCTACAATTACAAGGCCATGACCATTGGCGGAATTGAAGAATAGTACTTGTTGTGTCTGTTAAGGTGTGATTTTGAATGAAATTGTTGCTTTTATATTTTCTTACCTCAACTTATTGTTTGATACTTTGATGTCCCCAGTGCCATGTTGTGGCTCTTATTGTTGTTTGATATTTTATCGCAACAATTAGATCCTATTTACATTTTGAAGCACCAAACAAGTCCACTGTTGCCCTTGCTTTTGCAGAGTTCTATATTAATTATACTGCTAGATATGCTTGGGCATTAGTGCCATGGCTCCTCATTGCCAAGCTGCGACCTTGATTGCCTCTCCATCTTACCCAAATGCCATTGCTTGGTCAAGTGACAATCTTGTGGCTGTCGCATCTGGTCACATTGTAACTATTCTGGTAAGTGCAATCCAATCACTCTAAGATGATCACATATATGTCATATTCTCAGGGTCATGATGTAACAGAACCGACCAATTATACGAGATTAAGTAAGAAAATCTTCCGCCGAAGCAGATAATTTAGCAAACTTAAACCCGTATAACCCGGTAGTCCGTGAAACTACGAAGGATTTCAAACCAATCGACATACAAACCAAGATCGTACAAGTTTAGCAAGTACCGTCATACGTTACATAAAGTTCGCAACGACAGTTGATACATCAGAGTTTGGAACATAAGTTATTACATACCAAGTTCGACCTGAAATAGCGGAAGCAAATAGTTTTAAAGTCACACACACACTTTTGATCCAGATACAGTGCCAGTAGGTAGTCATTTCCAACAAAAGCATCAGATGAGAAATACGGAGTGACCATTTGCCCTTGGTCCTAGTTGTCACCCATCGCCGGATACAGGCAGTTAATGCAATAGCCGTAGTACATTTGACCATCTGCAACAACAATGGGAACAACACCCTAAGTACGAGAAGGTACTCAGCTAGACTTACCCATCTTAAACCAAAATAAAACGACACCAAGGATTATGCCAGGCTTTCTTTAGTGGGCTAGCTGACTCTTTTTGCGAAAGCATAAGTTATCATGAACAAACCATTTTTAAGTACTTTGCATCATCTTTATTATAACCTATCCATCTAGGTAAGCACCTGTACTATGGCAATCACATGATTAAACAATAACATCCAGTTACCAATTTAGCTTCAGTATAACTCACATCATCCAGATAACCATCATTGTTCCATAATAATTACTACGATGCCGTAGCTCAAGTCAAGTGCTCACTATCCAGGAGCGATGGCGATTCGAATCGATTCCTAACCAGCTGGTGATTTATTCCTCACACAAACCATGCTTCCCCTGCCAGGGTAGCCTAGATTACCAATGACACTTTTTAGGTAGCCACGGGATAATCTGGAGCCGCAGTACCCAGGGACCGCCCGACTGCCAGGAATCAGGTCACACCTGCCCTTGGACTCACTCTTCGCGCCCCTGTCATACCTCCATCAGCACCAATACGCGCACTCGTGTAGATCCCGGCCCGAATAGTGACACTAGCTTCGCGGTCGAAATGTACTTTATTCGGCCAGCTAAATGTGAGGCATGCGTTCAACATGACAAGAGGGACGAGTAACGATCGGTCCTTAATCGACACAGACAGAAACTAACAGCACCCCAGAACCCTGTCTGGTTGCCTCCAACTATTCCGTCCGGTCTCCAATTTTCCATCACATATGGTTAATTTCAGGATATCATTCTTTCCATAGCCAATCTCTTCCAATAACCACCTATAATGTAGGTGACCGGGTATCACCGATCGCTACCGGTCTAAGCAAGGCTAAGCAATTATTCGATCCTGACCTAACAGGAAAAAAGGTAATAAGGTAGGAAAGGATAGTAATAAATGCATCAACGGTTTCAATCAACTCCTACAACTTAATGCAACAATATATAAACTCATATATATAGAAAGAATTGCTTTTATAAAGTAGGAGACTTAGAATGCTCCGGGGCTTGCCTCGTTCGAACGAACTAGGTTGGTGATCCACGCACTCCGGCAAGTCCTCTCCTTGCTCCTCTTCCTCTGGCACCTCCTGTGCCTGGACTTCTTGTGGATCTGCCCCGGTCTACTCTTCCTGAACTGCTACTAGCAACTCCTCCTACGATCCTGTATGATGCAGATGTATAAGTGCTAATGCATAGGTGCATCGGAGAGATGACATGTAATGATCATGATGCATGCAATGTAGACGAACATGTTTAACTTTATTGTACATAGTAGTAGCAACGCTCTTCTACAAGGTAGTCAACATCATCCAAGAACATGTACTACTATCTACTACGAAAACCACTGTACTAGCATGCCAAATCACCACGGCAACTAAGATGCTTCAAAGATACACCAAAGTGAACATTATTAACTAACTCGTATTAAAGAAGATATTTTTATTTTATTTTAAACTCGGGCTACAACAACAACATATATTTCTGGTGTTCATAAAAATCTGAGAAAATTACAGTAGTCTAGTACTACTCTAAGTAGACTACCATTAAATTTTCATGGCATTTAGATAAGTAAAATAGACTACACAAAAATGACAAGGCATGATTGCTTAAAAAGGCATAAATAGGAAACCTTAGTTAAAAGTGTCAAGCAACAGATTTCACATTTTTCCTAGTATCATTTTAGCATAAGAATAGCACTCACCAAATTTTACCTTTACTGGATCTATAGAAAAATTATGAAAATTCACACAAGTATTAATCAATGATAAAAGAAAAATCTATAACTCAAAAACCATACATGAAATGACTCTCAAATTTTTACCAGAGCTTCTACTAAGCAAGACTAGCATACCCACAAAATTTTATAATTTTTTGACCACAGAAACTCAAGATATAATTCAAACAAGTTTGCATGTATCTAAAAACACATTTCAAGTTCCTATTTAATTCATCCAAAAATTATACTATAAGTGCTAATGTTATATTTTTCTTAAATACTAGACTTCACTCAGATCCTAATAAAATTGGACTCACTCAAATTGGATCTACAAAACTTGAGATACAAATTTTACAAAATGCATTCAAAAACTGAACAAATGAGCTATCCTACTGGATCTGAGTCACTGATGGTCGGGACCCACACGTCAGCCGGGTCCACGCGTCAGCGACAAGGAAAACAGGGGACGCGGCTGCGACGGCGCGGTGATGGTCGAGCTCGCCGACGGTGGCCTCTCCGGCGAAACCAAAAGCACCAGCGTGCTCTACGTGATGAGACGACTCGATTGGAGCTACCGGCAAGGCCTAAGATCTAGCGGAGGTGGCCCGTCACCGGTAATGGCGGCATGGCAGCGCTCCGGCGCGAGGCGCCGATGACGGTGAGCTCCCAATGTCCCTTCTGAGCCTGGTACGAGCTACACGGGGTCACCACGGAGCTAACTACGCAGAGAAAGGAAGACGAGAAGGGCTCGGTGGTGGTTGGCCGCGGTGAGCTCCGCTCCGGCGAGGTGCGGCCATGGAAACGGTGGCGGAAAAACGGCCAAGGTGCCCTTACCGAGACCCAATCGGTGCAGCCTAGGGGTGGAGGAGGTAGAGGAGAACACGGCGGAGCTGTGATGAAGATGTAGTGCGCGTTTTTGCGACGGCGAGCAAGTGCGAGCTCGCCGGAGTTGCTGCGGCTGCTGCTGCGGAGCTGCGAGCGAGCGGAGAAGGCGAAGGAAATGGAAAATGAGCGGGTGAACTGGTCGGGCAAGCGCGCGGGGGATTAAGGCGAGGCCATCGGTGCCAGGACGGCCGCGGCGCGTGGCCTGCGCGAGCAGAAGACCGGCGACGTGCGGCATCCACGCGGCGGTGTTCTTCTGAACCGGTCGGGTACTGTAGCTGCGATTCAGTGAACAAAGAGCTGACTGACAGCGCCAATTGGTGATGCTCTATCTCCTAATCCGTTGATCCTTAGCGAAAACAGTATAAATGAAATTTATAGCTCTAAATACCAGCTACAAATCATGTTAAAGGACCAAGACCTAATTCTCACTGGATCACAAGTTATATCAAGCCAAAGTTGAGTACTTGAAACTGGAATTTGATTTCTGACTTAGAAAATTCTAAGTGTTGAGTCAGCACCACAAATCTGACTTGTGGGACCATTTAGAGCATGTTGTGCATATTTTTATGAGTTGGTCATAAAACAACTTTTGATCCTTATAAAATTTGCTACAACTTTGCTTTAGGTTGCTCAGACAGGTAAACACTCTATGCTACACTTTTTAAACAGTCAAACCAAGGAGTTCAGGAGTCAAAACAAGTCAAACCACTATTTGAAAACTTAATTAGGCAAAATGGTCAACATGAACATTGTTCCTAATGATTTTCTAAGCATAGCTAAGGTGTTTAAAAATATATTTAGCCATACCACACATTGGTCACACAAGAATCAAGCACTGAATGTACTGAAACGATGAAAAACAATTGAAATGTTACTTTTGTTTCATAGTCATGTTTCACCTGTTTCATGATCTTGTTGGATCATACTAACTGGCTAGGTTCCACTAAAGTGAGTTGCACATGTTGCACTTGGGTGTTACACACTATTCATTTCATAAAAACAACACTCATGAAATATACAGTATGTTGCAATGCTTCGACAACATGTTTCATGTGATATATGCTCATGAATGGATGAATAATGCTCATGTTCATGAAATGCAAGTGCAATTATGCAAGCATAACACCAGGGGTGTTACACATGATAGTTTATGTATGGAATATGGATAAGCTTAACCTTGCACTAACCATGCCCATTTTTTCATATTCAAGAACCCAGCTGCGCTTGATGGACCCCGTGTATTGGTTGGACTTCATCGCAGTGACCCTTTTCCTATAGGAGTGGTTAAGAGAGAAGGTAAAACTGGTCTTTGCATTAGTCATATCCTAGAGGACTTGCTTAACTTGACATTTGTGTTAATTATTTTGTACAATGAATGAAGACTTAATTCACATATACTGTATCCAGAAATTTGTTGGCTTGACATCAGTTTTGTAATGTGAATAACATGGAACTTTGGGAACTATAATGAATAAACTGTCTTGCTATTTGGCTTTTCAGTTTTACCAATGTTTGAACCAAACATCATTAAACGCTCGCCTAGACGCTCTTAAGCACAAGGTGGAACCCTGGTGACGAGGTGTGATTACATCCGTGCTTACGTCATGGCATCTTGTTGCTTGATTGCACCCACCCTCTGCTTGATTTCACCATGGGTTCATTCACACAGCCAGAGCAGAGTTACATCTCCTTATATGCAACACCTCCCTTTGGAATCTTAGGTTTTACTAGTCATATTATACTTATACCTTGTGAAATTCATTCAAACTACTATGATTAGTGCATGTTCAACCTCCTGAACAAATGTCATGGCATTTTTTTATTTATAGCCTAGTGCTCCATCTGTTACAAAGTACAAGGCAAGATGCATTTTAAGATTCAACAACAAAAGTGGTTACATTGGATTTGTATTTAGAAATACTTTCTAATGATCAATTTTTTGTTGCCACACACGGTATATTATGAGAGAAGTTAGTTGTCAAAGTACGATCTTGATGACTGTGCCAAGTTGAACCACACCTTATATTGTGATGCAGGGAGTATAAAGTTTTCCATTACTGCCATTTCACCAAAGAGTGGAAAAAAGAGATCATGTAGGTGTATTAATTCTGTTTGATCTAAAATTTTCAATTTATCAATATTTGCATATCTCTTGGAGCCATGTTTATTGTCCACTTCCTTAGCACGTGAAACTGAACCATGTGCCCGATCGATTTCATGGTCTCAACAAGTATTTGCACCTAACTCCGGGTATACATACCTTTGACATTCTAAGTGATCTTCTCTAGGGGTAAGTTTTATGTACAAGCTCATCTGTTCATCCTACTGTACTTACATATGTTTATAATATGGTACAAGCTCATATGTTCATCCTACTGTACTTACATATGTTTATAATATGGATGGCTAATGTAGGTGTTTGCTGGCTGTTTGCACTGTGGATGGTCATGTGAAGCTTTATCGGTCACCAATTTGGGAGTTATGTGATGAATGGGTTGAAGTGAGCATTTTCTGTGCTATTTAAGCAACATTCAATTTATGATGAAATGGTTGACTAAAAAGTTAGTCTGGATACCAACCAAATGTCTGCTACAGTGATTCTTGTGCCAGATTTGGTTAGGGCCATTGTTCCCATGATCCATGCATAATGAATATAAGTAATATAGCTTTTTATCACTAGGAAAATCAGATGAACATTAACTACATAACCTAGTTTTCAGCCAAAATTTCGTTCTGTACCACTTTCTTATTCCTGTTCCAACTTCTAATCAGAATAGAACTTGCAATTTAAGTTTGTTCTTGACTCCTTGGTTCTAGGACTAGATTTTGTTTGCTTTTAGTTGTCTGTTATTAATTTCTAGACTATGCTTTTGTCTTTCGTTGCATTTGTTTGTTAGGAATGATCAGTGATCACCTGTTCTAGGTCACGGATATTTTGGTGCTTATTAACATTTCACCTGGCCTAGGTCGCAGATATATCACAGTTGTTGTTTAACTACTATAAAACTATAAACTTCAGAGAGGATAATGGTTCTCATTTGACTTCTCCGGTATGATAACTTCTACTCTAGCATATCATCATACTTTTATCTGAATATGTGGCTAAAAGTATGATTTTTATAATCAGAAGAATACAAATACTGGGGAGACAGAGGTTTTAGGATCTACTTGTGAATTGCAAGAATCTTTTTATTTCAAGGGTCCTGGACAGAGAAAAATAAAGCCACCAAGGTGAATGATATTTTCTGTTTCTACATCATAACTTTGTCATTGAGAAAAGTTTCCACATTTGAAATAATAAGATGATCATGCAGGATGTCAAGTGCTTATATGCAAGCACTTTGTACGAATTCATCTGTGGATGTCACAAATCTTTCCTTTTAATTTATTTTGTTGCAAGAAGACAACATTCTTAGCAATCTTTCTAACATCCATATGCTGTACCTGAATCTGTTTTCACTGAATTTTTATTGAATATAGAGTTGATGGTTTTATTTATGACGGCAATGAAGTTGATTTAGATGCTTCAAAGGATGCAGACTTCTCGATGGAACCATGCTCTAAATCAAAGAAGAAATCGTTGAAAAAGGTAGAGATTTTACACATTTATGCTGAAGTTTCTGTTTATTCTTTTACTTTGTAATAAAAGAGAAACCTAGTTGTTTCTTAACAAAAGGAAGAACCAATTATTCCCTCCGTTTTTAAATGGCACCGTTGACTTTTTACATCCATTTGACTTTTGGAGTATTTGTCTTTCCTTTAAATATTTGTGCAAATGGACAAACATACAAGGCATGCTTAAAGTGATTTGGATGACAGATGTAGTGACACTTTTTTCACTTTCCTTAGCTACTAAGTAATTGAATAAATATTGCCGTAAAAGGCTGAGAAAAAAATTAAATGGTATCATTGTTTAAAAATGGAGGGGGTATCATGCTAAAGGTGTTTCGTAGCATAGTACATGACTGTTTTGTGTTTTCCATTTAACATTACTGTGTTTGTGATTGCAGACTATAAAACCCAGGCATGAAGTAGTTGCTGTAAATGAACGAAACAGCACAGGAAATATTAAAGCATCATTGTCCTCCAATGGAGAAAGCAAATCTCTTCCTCTTATCACGGCAAAACAATATGCTTGTTGTGCTGCACATTTGTCTTCCCTTGTAGTTTCATGGTCTCCAGTTGTGTCATCAAGTGATAAAACTTCTTGTTTATTGAGGCATTGGTGCATTCTTGCTGTTGGCTCTAAATCTGGAAATTTTTCTTTTTGGAAACTATGTAAGCCAGAATATTACACAATAGATGCTGGTGTGGTTACCAGTGATCCAATGCTCATCGGGGTTTTGCAAGCTTACAAATCATGGGTCAGTGTCATAACTTGGCAAGTTCTTTCTGCGGGCTCTTCAAAATCCTCGTTGCTTTTAGCTACTGGATGCTCAGATGGAAGGTAATCGTGATTTATCCGTATTGTCTGTAAATGGTGATGTGCTTTCTTCAGCCGTACTATGTACCTTTTCTTGTTTGCTTACATGAATTTTGTGAGCTAATTTACTCATGACATGGCAAAAGTGATATATGGGGATAATCATAAACATAGTTTTGCTTCTATGTTTTCTGGAACAAGGTCAAAATTTGTCCATAAGCAGCAGAATGACCTGTATAGGCATGCAATGAGCTTGTCCTGCCTCTGCCTTAATAAATAAAAATAAGAAAGCACTTCCATCCCCCATTTATTTTTCTAATTGCTGTGCTTGATGTTAAACAATCATGCAACTCATTCTCTGCACGAGATATCTGGGCGGTGGTGAAAATACTTTACCCATATGCTACAAATCTTCCTTGCTTTAATATAATATTTATAATTAATTTTGGTAATCAAAACAACAGGACACAAAAGGCGGTGGTTGAGTTCATCTGGATCGGTGGCCAATTTGTTGGTATTCCACTAGACAGGAGCATTCATATTTGCAGTCCACAGTCTGCAGACTTATCCTCAAGTAACCTTATGTGGTGGGGATCCAACATTTTGTGGTCGCTGAAGAAATACGAAAATGTTGAAAAGAGGCTTGTGTTATGGGATGTTGTAACTGCGCTGCAAGAGTTGAAGAAATCTGCACCTGCCTTTCTGGAGACTTTAGTGCATAGTTGGGTCTCAGCTTTATTTTCGGGCGACCCACAGCGTGTTTCTATCAATGCCCTGTCATGTTCAATGCATGACATGATGCCCTATGTCAGCTCGCGGAAGCTACACTTACTGAACATAATTTGCAGAAAAGTAATGCTCAGCAATCATGCACAGCATGGTCCTGGTGCTCAAAACGGTAATGAGGAAACAACTTATTTCTGGAACGCTCTTTTGGTAAGGAGTGAAACAGAACTGCGAGAGAGGCTGGTGGGTTTCACCTTTGCCGCAGTCCTGAAACGGACAGCATGTTTGTTCAATGGTACCTCCACTGAAAATTGCTGGTTTCCTGTCGGGGTTGCCCAGATGGATTCTTGGGTATCCATGAATTACGAAAAAGTGCATAGCCAGCTGCAGTCTATCAGATCGAAGATCAAAGATCTAGGAAGCAGGTGCATTTTCCCATCTCAATTGATCAATCATCTGTCATCTAGTTTCATCTGTGAAAAGAGGTACCAGTTCACTAACATTGGGCACGGAACCTAACTGTTTCCTCCTGCAGGATCGACGGATACTCTGATATAGAAAGCTGACCCTACTGCTCTTCGCCAGTCCATTTCAAGTCGTCTGATGTAGCCATCTGCGGAGAAAGGCACACCCTATCGCGGTGCAGGGCATCGATGATCCTGTGCTCCGTTGTGCAGCCAGTGTGGCACTGCGTGTGCTGCGGAGGCACGGTAGACAAGCTGTTGCCGGAGTCGTTCTTCACCATGCAGGCGTCCACCATCCATGATGAAGGATCGCTCGATCTGTCAGCAGCCTCCGTCGCACTCTGCCCCTTCTGCGGCATCCTGCTGCAGAGGTCGATGCCGGCGTTCCTGCTCTCCACCTCGCCGGCTTAGAGTCTTTGGATGCTAGTAGTCAGCCTCCAGGTGTAGCATGCAGCGGTGATGTAATAGTAATATTGTACTGTAATTCATTAGAGATTAGTACCAACTACTAAGTTTGTTCTAGTTGATGCTGCTTGCGCTTACCAAGTATTGCTGGCAGTGGCACTGTAGCAGTGCCCTTAGTGTGGCTCGAAATGTTTGTGATAGGTTCGGCGATGCTTAGCTCGCCGCCGGTATCTGGTCAGTTTTTATGGCTTTATTCTTAGGGACAATTTGAATATGAAGCTGATGGACTCTTTGGTTTGATTTCTTTTGGACGCTGACGGTGCCTGATTACCAGGCCCAATTCAGCTGTCTCGAAGCGGACTGTCTCGTTCGATTCATGTTGCGGACATGCAGCTCCGCCAGTTCCATCCAAGTGCATATATGCCATATATTTTGCTTCGAGACTTCCCAGACCATAGCACGGATCAATAGATCTGGCAGCCGGCGAACGTAGACGAGGCAAAGCAACACCGAAAACCAAGCCCACCTGCTGACCACGCCAGCGGCCTTGGCAACGACGTGCTCGTGCACATCCACGAGCAATCGAGCTGGCCCAGCTGGGTGACCCACGCTCTCGCTCTACGTGTAGTCGTGCACAGCCAAGGGAATGGGATAATAATAATTGTGAAATAGCTCCATTTAGTTCAATGTTGCTTATGGAATTAATTCCTATGTATAGTTTTTTTAAACCCATGCAAGATACGTAGAAGTAGGCTATTCTTTTTTTTTAAGAAAAAAAACGTTGACCAAAATAAGTGTTAAAAAAACCAAGTCCACCTGCAGTCCACGCCAAGATCCCGCTGCAGTCCTGCATCCGCGCGGGCAGGGGAGCCAAGATCCCGGAGCAGAACTGAAAGGTCATAGGCTAATAAGTTTTTTTCAGAATAACTAGAGCAATTTGTTAGATAACAAGATGATGATAAAAGTGTTTTGCTCTAGCTCTATAAAAGGTTGCATGCCACCTACCGAATGCTAGTGAATTATAATCTCTATGACAATCAATTAGCTATGTCACTGCTTGTAATCTAGTGAGCTAGCTAACAAGAAAACTAATTACAACTATTTGCTATTCTACTCAACTAGTAACTATCTACCACTACACGAGTATCAAGAAATGTACGAGGGATAGAAATATATACCAAGGACAAGAGATGTATCAATCACAATGAATACCAAGAAGGCCAATGAACCTATTGACACACAATTTTTTCCGCGAGATTCACTTTCTTGCCAGCAAGCTAGCCCCGCTAATACAATGTAGAGCTTGTTGCCAACTATGAATTCTTTCCCAATTCAAAGTTCGAACCTGCTATAATTTGCCATCACTAAAAGTAAAAAAAAAACTGGACCTGCGAGGGTATGACCGTCCCCAGACATTGCATTAAGAAGAGGACCTTCTCACGCGGGCCCAGAAACCCCCGAACCCCTACCCCACCCTTACACAACAGCACCGTCGCTCTGTGAGAACGGGCCGGTCCTTAGACCTGTGCTTTGGCGTGGGATAGACGAGGGGATTTTTTTAACCCCAGCCTAAAATTCGCTCCCATGGCGAGTCGAACCCAGGACCTGAGGAGTGCCGCCGGGACGCTCTAACCAGTTGGACTAGAGACCCTTTAGCGCCATCACTAAAAGTAAACAGGGTCCATTTGGACAAAATCAATGGAGTTTGGTTGTGGTGTCGACCGTTCACTTCATGGTTTGCAAGCTAATAGGCATACACAAGGCTAGCCCTATACAAGGACGCCACAAGAACCTACACAAATGAGGGTATTCAATGACACGAGCAATTTACTAGAGTGGCTTTTGGCGCTCCGCCGGGGAATAAGCCCAAGAACCCCTCACAATCGATGCCGGGTGTGGCCACGAACAATCACTAACTCATGCCAACACTCCTCCGCTGCTCCAAGCCATCTAGGTGGCGGCAATCACCAAGAGTAACAAGAAAACCGCAGCAAGAACGATCCCCAAGTGCCACTAGATGCAATCACTCAAGCAAATGCACTTTGGATCACTCCCAACTCACTTGGATGCACAATCAAGTAAGAGATTGAGTGGAAGAGGTTTGGCTTAGCTCACAAGAATGTATCAATGACCAAAATATCCAAGAGGGTGAGCTAGAGCCGACCAACATCTATTTATAGAGCCCAAGGGCTCACTAGCCGTTATGCCCACGAAGAGCCTCTCGACCCGAACCCCAAGGGGTCCGGACCATGCGCTCCCAGTCCGGTTCCTCCCCGCTTTGAATCTTAGGCTGCCACATGTCCCCTTGATCGTTGGCTCGCCAACGGCTCTGTTGTCAGAGCTCCGGACCCAAGGTCCGGACCAATCGCTACAACAGTTTGGATCACTCCTGTAAGCTTCCAGAACTCTCAAATGCCTCTAGATCGAGTCCGGACCCAGGTCCGGACCAATCGTCACCCGGTCTGGAGTGTTTTTGTCAATCTCTGTTTGCTCAAAATAATTTTTTGGACTCTGCGTCAGGGTCCGGACCCCTCCGGACTATGCTTCACCAGGGTCCAGAGCACCCTCGACGCGCCACGTGGCCTAGGGTCACCAACCGGACCGAGGCGCCATGGTCCCACCGCCTACGCCACTAGGGCCCGAGCACTATGCCAGGCTAGGGTTGGGTACCAGACCCATGAACCATGGTCCAGACCGCTAATACCCCTGGGTGTTTTTCTCCTTTTTAACTTCTATCTTCAACCCTTGTTTCCATGTGCCAACACAAAAGTGTTCCACCACTCGTGCACGTGTGTTAGCATTTTCCAAAGCACTTTTCAAGGGTTAAAGTTAGTCCACACTAGGTCCTAATACATATACATGAATGGCAGCACATAGTGGCACTTGATAACCACTTTAACCATAATTTCCTCCTCTTCATGGTACGGTATCTATCCTAAATCCAATCACACTCTCTATAGTGTCTTGATCGGCAAAACAAATATGGCCCTACCAAGTATACCTTTAACTTGAGCCTATTTTTATTTTTTTTCTTCTTTTCCAAGTTGGAGCACTTATCTCATCTTTTGGCCACCTCCATCGCCATGAGTGCCATCATCTAGGTCCATCACTTGGAGTGTACCAACATATCTCGCATACCACTTAAGCAAAATGTTAGTACACTAAGGTTTCATCAATTATTCAAAACCAACCTAGAGCTTTCAAGTGCCGTCACGGGGTCGCGCACCACGACGTCAAGCCCGACAACCTCCTCTTCGATGGTGGCAGCGGCGGTGCGCTCAGGCTCGGGGACTTCAGCTTCGCCGCTTTGTTCACGGACAACAGACCCATGGGAACGCCCTACTACGTCGTGCACGAGGTGGTGGACGGCAGGTGTCCCGGGTGAGGTCGTTCGCTCCGGCTAGACTGCCACGAACGCAGTCGCCTACGCCGT